CACACACACACACACACACACACACACACACACACACACACACACACACACACAGTTTTTTTAATGTAATAGTTTCTTGATTGTGGTATTGAGATGAACGATGTCCCTTGAAGTTACATAATACCCCCCACCCTTTAAACTTTCTTTTAATTTGTTCATGTAGTTTTAATACAAATACTTTTCTCGTGCAGTTTTAATATTCAAAACTAAATATCTTCATGTCTCAGTCTGAAAGAGCTTTCGCTTTCAGCTGTGGATTAACACCCATTTGGTGCCTATTTCTGAGTGCTGGACTGGGTTTCCAAAATCATCTTTAAATCATTATTTCTCCTAAAACACTTTCTTCTATTTCTGAGTTCATTTTTAGCATTATACTGTGAGAAWATTCTGTAATATTTAAAATTTACACTCAGTGCTGTTTTAATAAGAGGATTACTTTTTATGCTTTCAGGTAAATTTACAAAAAGGAGATTTGACTGTTCTATGTAAAAAAAAAAACATTTAACATTTAGTATTGAACGCCATTCGTCAACAATTTTCTCTCTGATGTACTGTAAGCTCCTTTTTCGGCTTTAAATAATTGGGTGTTGCAACAAACAAGAAAAGATCAGAAGATCTAACAGAACCTATTTTGTTGATGACCTGGCTCAGGTCTCCCAAACCAGGAAAAGACGTCTCATCTGAACACATGCTCAGCAGAAAGGCCTGAAGATCAGCTTGAACATCCCCCCCACCAGTGTAGGTGAATTTATTTCCTCACTTATTGGTTCCGTTCAGACTGAATCACTGAAATTAAGATTTCAGCTCACAGACGTGTTGAGCGATAAAACCAAGCAGTTAWTGGCAAAAATCTGACAAAACTGACTCTCAAGGTCAAAGAAAACCAAACTCATCATTACTGCAAATGAACGTTTTTACCTCTGTGAATGTGATGAAATAAATCAAAGCTGTATTCATGTTTTCTAATAGAAATATCAGAGAGAAAAATGACACCCAATATAACATTCTTTATTTTAGGCAGCAAAACAATCATTAAATATGTGAGTTAAGATGAAACTAGTTTTAATTATATTAGTACCTTCAAGCATTATATAAAAATTTAAGAGGAATCCCCACAGCCAGGAGCTGTTTTTGTTAATTATATTTTAGTATTTTTTAGTTGTTTTACTTTGATGTTTCTTTTTAATTTTAGGTCTATATATTTATATATTTTTGTATATATATATATATATATATATATATATATATATATATATATATATATATATATATATATATATATATATATATATGGATCATTCATCCTTTTTCATTTACTTTAGCTTAGGTTGAACACCTAGCTTTAACATCAAAGAATATAAATGAAACAGATATAGTGGAGAAGAAAATCGCACCTTTAGGCTGAACTCTATAACTGCCRTCCAACCTTTCCTCTCACTAAGTAACATAATGCCCCGCCAGAACACAGGCTCTCCACATCAAGCTTTTAAGATTAAAAAAGTTGTGTTCTCACTTGTACAGACCGGCCTTTCCGCTTCTATTAAATGGTTTATTTAGTGTCTGAAAGCTGATACAGAGTCAAAGTTACAGGGACAGTAAGATAAATGTGAGTTTGATAGAGAAGGAGCTAACATAAATCAACATGTCACTCAAGCTGCCACCGTTTTGTTTCCAGGAACTGCAGGGAGAAACAATAAATTGATCTCGCTGAATGATTAATACAAGGGACAGAAAACTGAGCACACAATCTCCAAACACAAAGCGATTGTATTGATTCAGATCTSTGTGATGAGAGGAGTGGACCTGAATAAACAGAGCGCATCGATTCATCTCAGGGTGTCGAGCTAAGGTGAGTTTGTAGAGACAGAGAGGACGTCGCATCGAGATGAGCAAATAAATCCTGACAAACCTGCTCAGTGCAAGCTGCAGCAGCGTTCGTCTGCCTGTTCTGCRTCCCGCTGTTCCTCTGAACACACGCATGACGACGGTTTCAAATGCACAAACATGCACGCAGGAAGCGAGCAGGTCTTGGTCGCAGAAATAGGCACTAGGGCTATTTTGAGTGTGAGTGAGAGTTCGAAGAATTCAGACACAAAATGGTGTCAGTGARGCAGCTCTAAGATTTGCTTCAGGACCAGAAAAATGTGGATCATGACAGCTGGCGGTTGGTCTACTGCTACTTCAACCACATCAGAACTGAATCCTCAGTTTAAAAATTGGTTTCTTCTTGGTAAGATCGTAAGGCCAGTTGTACTGTAAAAGGTAAAGCAAAGAAAGTATGTCAGAAATGAAATGTTTGAAGAATATTCAAAATGACAATAACGTTGAGGTACACTTCGCTGCAGCATGCAGAACGGGGCGGTGACAGACCTTTCCGTCAGTCCCATACCTTATATGGAAATGGGACTATTGCATTCCGGAAATGAAGGTTGCTCCTTAAAGACGCGGGATTAAGAGAGCAAAGGAAGAAGAAAGGAAGAAGTTAGTTTCTTCTACTCACGTTGAAGTACTCAGAGCATTATTGATTAATTTATTTTATCCACCTCCCCAAACACAGACCCTCAGGTTAACCTCACAGCTTTAATGCCTAAGGTTAACCTCACAGGCCTAATGCCTAAGGTTAGTTTGTTACTGTAATA